CTGAATAAATACGACCGGCTCAGGATTTAATTGATTTATCTCCTATTAGTATTATTATTATTATTGTTTATTTCCTTTAGTCTTAATAATATTTATGGTAGGAAAATAATTTTCTTGCAAGTGTTTAGGCAAGACTAGGTCTCTTATTTTAAGTCCTTGGGATTATTTATGTGGGATGAAACCGAAGAGAGAGCAGTTTTTGATGAATTGAAAAATTGTTTGTTCTATTTCACGAGAGAGTATCTCTTTATCTGCCCATTTGTACTAAGCTCTACATCATAAGCTACAATTTATATATGATTTTTTTAAAAGAAAAAATATATTTAAAATTTTTTATAAAAACAAATTATCATTTTAAGGAAATGCAATTACACACCAATTTTGCGAAAAAAAAGAGGAACCAAGAATGCCCAAATTTCCCAAGATACGATCCACCCCATCAAAAGATAAAGCCCAGGTCAGAAGTTGGGGCTATGCCAACTCTAGCGACAGGCGACCCCTAAAACGTACAAACAACCCAATACTTGATGTTAGGTCTGTCGAACCTCTACTCGACAGAACTCAGTCATTGTCGATATTCCCTGAAACTTCTCGATGAAGGATTGACGATCTCTCCTCATCTGAATGTCAATTGATATAGATACGGCCACCATCCAATCCGTCTTATCTTCAAAATAAATTTTTGCATGGATAGTTGCGGCGCCATACTGCATCCCGAGCTAGCACTGAACATTTATTGGTTTCTAATTTTTTCTGTGTTTAAATACCGATCACTTCGACTTATAGCAAAACATAGCCAATAATACCAAAAGATACGTACGAAAAATCATCTCTAAACATGTCGCGTACCATTCTTCTTGTTGATCTTCACAGCAAATCGATAATATCAATGTCATATTTATGTTTTATGCATATTCACTTTCCAACTTTACACGAGTCTGATCATGTCTCCCTGATTTATAGAGATCAATAATACAATAAACATATCGTAACCCGATTAAATAGTCTGATTTTTATCAATTATAACCATTGACGGTCCACAGTCACATTACCAAAATTGCTCAGCGGTGGTAACGTGCTATCATAGTGTGCTCAAACTTAAATTGAATGTTATTCTATTTATTTAATTATATTTTATTTAATTATAAATATGATTAACAATTTAAAAAATAATCTAATCGTGTTCGTGTTTAATACCGTATCACTCAATAACATGACATGTCCCTCCAATTTATTATTCTTCCCTATTTTATTTCATTGTTACCGCTAAAATCCATCTTAAATTGAGATAAATCAATAGAATTTTTTACGAAAAAAAATTCTGAGCACAAGTGGTGGACAGAAAAAAAAAAAGGAGGGTATAGAAATAAATAAAAACCACGTATTTATGAAATACGTTTTTTACAAAATTTAATTGAGAAACGTATTTCATGAATACGTTTTTCTTTATAAAAAATTCTGTAAAAACGTATTTCATGAATACGTTTTACAACCAAATTGTGAAGAAAGCGTATTTAGTGAATACGTGGTTTTTATTTTGTTCCACTTCCTCCTTTGTTTTTTGTTTTTTGTCCACTTGTTCTTTATATATTAATAAATATATAAATTGCTCTAATTCAATAGCCCACCCTACAAGTAATTTCCAATAAACCAAAATAATTATTTATTGCTACCTCACTGTGTCCACTCACCGGAAAACACAGAGGATCGGAGCTCTGCGATGTGCACGCTAGACAAACGCGGCAACCTTTTCGTCCTCACCCTCACCGGCGACGACGAGCACCGCCTGAACCCGACCCTGATCGACTCCATCCGGGACGCGCTAGACCGGGTCAGGTCCGGGTCAACGGGCGCCGCCGCCCTCATCACCACCGCCCACGGCAAATTCTTCTCCAACGGTTACGACCTCCGGTGGGCACTGTCCGACCCGGATCCGGTCCAATCGGAGGCTTTCGCCCGCCCCAAGGCAATGTCCGCGAAGTTCCGGCTCCTGATCGCGGACCTCATCTCCCTCCCGATGCCGACCATCGCCGCCGTCACCGGCCACGCCTCCGCCGCCGGGTTCGGCCTGGCCCTGAGCCACGACTACCTGCTGATGAGCCGGGGCCGAGGGTTTCTGTACATGAGCGAGCTCGACATCGGGTACAAAATCCCCAATTTCCTGTTCGCCCTAGTGAAGGCCCGGGTCGGCCCGCCCCGGAGCTGGCGGAACGTGGTGCTCAGGGCGGAGAAGATTACGGCGGAGACGGGGGTAGAGTGGGGGATCGTGGACTCGGCCCACGCGAGCGCCGGCGAGACCCTCGAGGCAGCGCTGAGGCTGGGAGGGGATCTGGCGGGTCGGAATTGGGACGGGAAAGTTTACGCCGATTGTCGGAGGACGGTGCTCGCCGACGTGGTGGCGGCGCTCGGGTCGGACGAGACGGTGGGGGACGCCGGCGAGGGGACGGCGGCGGTTTCGAGATTGTGAGCTGGGGTATTTGGTTAAACTGTACGCTATCATTTTTTAAACTGGTTCACACTGTATGTTTAGTGGTTAATTTTGGAAACTTGAAGGATAATGATGAGCAATAAAGGGAAACTGATTTGTTTGATGCCTATTGAATTTTCGCAAACTCCGCTTGGATTGTTCGATAGACGAGCTCGATTTATTTGTTTAAGAGTCGAAAGAAACTTTGTTTGCAAGTAGCTTGGTTAGTTTGATAGAAATGCGGTTGAGTTGGATAGAAATGATAGTGTGCATCTTTCTTTAGACAAGAAAGAAGATGAGTCTGAAGTGAAAAATGATGAAAAAGTGGAATCTGAACAAATTTCGAAGGTGATTGTTGATGAGAAAGTTGATTCTATTAAGAAAAATGATTCTTCGGTTTTGTCGGGTGATCAGCCTAAAGTAGTGGTGAAGGAGGATGAGGAGGAAGATTTAGGGTGGGATGAAATCGAGGATATTGGAAGTGGCGATGAGGAAAAAGTCTCGTCAACTGCCCAAAGTTGCAGCCCGAGTAGAACCGAGCTGAAGAAACAGTTGATTGCTGGGAAAGATGATGAGGATTTGAGTTGGGATATTGACGATGATGATGATGAGCCGGTAAAACGACCATGCCGTCTTAGTAAATTTGATAAACTGGTATGGTGAATAAGGGTGCTGCTGTACAGTCTACACCAAATAAATAACTAAATATGGACAGCATAAATTTATATTAAACGGTGTATGTATTTCACATTTTATTCGTTTTTTTTTTATTTATCTTTTTCTTGTTCTTTGTTATCAATTGGCGGAGTTAAGTTGAGTTACATTGCCATTGTATGAGAGAATATATGCTGAAATTGTTCCCTTTAAGCAGCAGAACTCATTCCTCAAGAAAAGAAAGGGAAAGGCAAAGCCAGATACAAACAACAAGAAACCACAAACTCTCTTACCAATTCTCATCCTTCAGAAATTGCACTAAGAAAAAAAAGTCTTACTGCAGAGAAAAATCCACAAGAACCGCACCATAAAAACCCTTCTTCAATCGGAACCCGACTCGTTTTTAACCGAGCCGACAGGCGGAGGCAGTGCCAGAAAACGACCCCTCTGCGCGCGTGGCGGCAGTTGCTTCATGTGCTTTCTCGACCCGACAGCCCACGGTAAGAAAACCCCTGTACCGTCACGTGGGCCCCTTCTTGGGCTCACGACCATCGGGCTAACGGGCGCCAGCATCACAACTGGACTCCAATTTGGAACCGTGTATGGAGCATGTACACCCGGTTGCCATACGCTCATTGCTTTGGAAAACGAGTAGTTCGTTTCTGATGGGTGGTTGTTTTCAGACTCGGTTCTGACCCGGAAAAAAGTGATGCTCGTCCTTTTGTTTAGAGACGAGCACATGGCGTGCCTTGCCATGTCCGAACTGTTGCCCTTCATGACGAGAAGCGACCTGAGAAACATTTTTTTTAATTTTTATTTTTTTTAATTAAATGCTATGTTTAGTAAAACTAGTTGATCAACTAATAAGCTAGCTTATAGCGTGTAAACCTAGATTATTTCAGCTAATAATTAAATGCTAATAAGTTTGTTCAAATTTTTATTTCAACTAGATTATCGATTAATTTACCAAACAATTTTATTATAGGTTTTCAGCTATATGTCATAAGCTAAAAGCTACCTAAAGAAGCTTATGAGATAAACTCGAACTTTTTTAAAAAAACTCGTCCTACCAAACGAAACTTATTAATACATAAAACTTAAAAGCTAACCAAATAAGCTATAAGCTATCTTATTCGGTTACCAAACATAGCCTTAGAAAAAGAATAAACAAGTGATGGTTTTGTTGTTGATGTTACCCTTTTTTCAGAGAAAGCATGAGAGATCCTCTGTAGTTGCCTTCACCGTAGCTCACGAGGGTTCGGCCGAAAGCCATGGTTGATTCGTGGAGGAGAAAAGTTGAGAGAGGATGCTCCAAGTGAGGCGGTTTCAGAAAGGGCTGAGAATATTCTCCCTACATTATGTCGGCAAAACAATTCGGTTCAGACACGCTAATCTAACACGCAGACAAATTGGAAGTCGAAAGGAAATACTTAAATCTGGAAAACGGAAAACCGAAAACCTCATCGAAAAAGCTAATGATACAGCTGTTTGGTGTCCGATTTTCTGGGATTAAACGCCACTGGATCAAGTGCTCGATTACACCTTGAAGAAGAGTTGGGATTGGCTCTATATAATCTGTTCCACACAGCAAAGAACATATTTTCAGAAAAATTGCCAAATGCCAATTGATTATTGATAATATATGTGAGAAGCATATGTATAATTGTTTCATACTCTTCTGGACTGTGTTTATTTCATCTTCTTTAATCTTTCCGAAAATGGGGACTCCAAGCTGAATCAACTCTCTCTTGTTTCCTTTCCTCTGCTGATTATACAAAATGAAGGTCTCGCCTGAAACTCAATTGCCAGTCGAAATATTATGACTACAGAAGTTACCATATATATGGTAAAAAAAAAATGCAGTTAAGACTAGCCGCCACCTGAAAGCTCGCCATTTTGACCAGCCGACCGAAGTTCGTTCACAAAATCGTTCAGTTTCGACAGCTCGACATCAGTGAATATGTCCTCGTATAACTTAAGACCCCTAACGACATTAACCTGCTAACCAAAAATATCGATCCACGACCAAGATTCAGCTATAAAAAAGTTAAAAAAAAAAAACTGTGTCATGTGGATTAAAATGTTTTATCGAGGAAAAAAGAAAAAAAACTTGCCGTGTGCCCTTTTATCGGCTCCTTTGCCACGAAGCCTTTTGTGATCTTGATCTGGGCACGGCGCGCCTCGCAGTTGTCGTGGTTGGAGCATATATCGACGTTTTCCGGAAAGTTCTGGACTTCTTGAGATCCTGTGACAAAAGATTCCTCATTATTTGCAAATCTTAAATTTTTTTAACCCACTTGGTGAGTATGTACATGCAACCAAAATAAAAATTAAAAAAAAAAAAGTGACTGCCAAATGATTTTAGTATTTATTAAAGGACCATTTATTTCATCCTTGGGAGTAACAATGACACTGCTGCACACACTGAACCTCTGACTTTGTACTTGTCAGTTGTCACTGCAGTAAAAGATTGGCAACTTCATCTGTCATTTTCATCCCTAAATAGAAAAATTTTATGCTTTTTGAGTCCCTAGATAGAATCTTGCTACTTTCAAGTTTCATCATAAAGTTTGATATAATATTCAGTTATTCTTACAATAGAATGTCATAATCCGATACGAAATCCAACGGTTATATATTTCAACAAAAAATAACAACTGATATTCTAATGACATAGTTTTCATTGAAATGATTCTTACATAGATTTCAAAATTGAAATGAGATTTTCATTGAAATTTTAATTTGTATTTGACGATTCCAACGACTTTTTTACGAACTGTCAAGAATTTTCGTTGAAATATGCAATTTTTTGAAACCATTCCCACTAACTTCTGTCAAAAAAGCAGCTTTATTCTAATTCAAAAAGCTTATTGACATATGCTAAACCTAAATATTTGGTGATAGAATTGCACTTTGACAATAAAACAAGATATTGTGGAACTATTCCCACTAACACACACCCAGCCAATATGCAAAAGCATTATTCATGGTGCACGCGGTGAGTATCATTTTTCTTTTAACTTTATTCTTTTATTCAAATAAAATACTGGAATTCAATTCTTGATGATATTTTTCAATATTCAAATTTCTATTGGCTGAAGGAAAAGAAAAGAAAAATATGGAAATACACTTTTTTTGGGGACCACAAATTGGGGAATGCCCTTGTGGTTCTCTTTTGATTTGTGTATTTATTTATTATTTTTTTAGTTTTAAAAATAGCAAGAAAAAAAATAAGTTGTATTAAAATAATATTTAAAATAAAATGATTAAAATTTATTTGATGTAAAGTAAGAGATAAATGACTGAAAGTGATGATAGTTAATTATGTAATTGGATTAATAGTGAATTAAAATTGATGTGATGGGTAATAATGATTGATTGTTTTTTATTATTTAATTATATTGATAACACTAGATAGTGAAGTTGAATTAAAAATGAATTAGATTTTGAGTTGAGAATTGAGATTGAATTATCTTAGGTGTATTTGTAAAGAAACATACACTAGACGAGGCTATCAACAATTTAAGTTCAACTTATTTATTAATATCTCGAGACTCAACTTTAAGTTCAACTTATTTATTAATATCTCGAGCCTCGACATGTTGAGTCGAATGAACGACTCGTTCTATTTAACAGCTTGATATCTATATCTAATATATAAGTTCAATGATGTTAAAAAGAAACACGTAATGCGGCACCTCTTGTTCAAAGAATTTGATTAAATGGAATATATATTAAAATATATATATATATATATATATATATATATCATATCATATCATATATCAATAACTAAAATATGGACATGCTCTCCATAAATCGATAACTGAGTCAACTCAATAAAGTCAACCGAGTTATTAAAAAGACTGGGAACAAACTAGAAAGAGGACCAACATAGGGATCCGATCCGAATATGCCTTATTATTTGGGAGGACCAAAATTAACCACCAAAAGCTTGTTCGGCTTACAGCCGGTCCAGAGCCGGTTTTTTTTTTTACTTTCTCGAATTTCTCACAAAATGCATCAAATCGGATCCCCGGGAAAATATCAAATACATTTGCCATCAAAAGTAATTAAAGAGTATATTTTATTAAGGGGCTCTTATTTTAAAATTAAATGTAATTATACTAGTGTTCTTCATTTTTCCTGTTCTATTATGGGGAGATGCTATTGTATGTTACGGAACCATTCGGTCGGGATTTGTAACCGTTAAATCACCATGTAACTGTCGGGAATAATTAATCTAACGGTTACAAACACCAACAGAATCATTCTTTAACGAGACCGTATCATTTTCTTTTATGTACCAACTTATAATAATACTTTTTAGCCTAGTATTAGAAATGTAAATAAATTCAGCCAATTTCGAGATTTTGACACTAGAATTCGAACTGAAGTCAGAATT